TTTTTTTTTTTTTTTTTCCTGGTACCGGGCATCGAACTTGGGTCCTTGCACTTGCAAAGCAGGCACCAGAACCACTGAGCTAAATCCCCGGCCCCTGTGTCATCATTCTTTACCCCTCAAACTTATCTGTTAAAAGTTTAACCCCTTAATGTGATTGGTATCAGCAGTAGTGTCACAGGGAGATTAGGTTGTAAGGATGAAGACCTACTAAATGGGTTAGTGCCTTTATAAAGGAGATCCTGGAGAATTCTCTTGCAAGTTTTCTCATCATGTGAGGTCACAGCAAGAAAGCCATCTATGAATAAGGAAGTGGGTTCTCACCAGACCCTTGATCATGCTGATAACCCTATCTCAGATTTCCAGAATAGTGAAAAATAAATTTCTGCTGCTTATAAGATACCTAGTTTATGTTATTCTGTTATAGTAGCCTAAACTAAGATGAGGAGAAGCAGAGTGATGGAGGCAAAGAAAGAAAGTTTTTATGAAAGAGACAGCACCTTTTAATTAGGCCTTGAAGAATAGAAAGGTTTTGGACACACAGAAATAGATTTTTGAGGCCAACAAGCCAGCAAAGCAAAGGTATAGGAGTAGGAAAGGGTATGTGGAACCAGAACACAGGGTATTTGATATTAAGCTAAAGTCCCTGGACTTGTTTTTGAGGTCTGCTGGAAAGAGAAGAAGGAAGTGTATGGCAGCATGTGTATATGTGCATGCATACATGCATGCAAGCACTGGTGATACAGATAAGTGAGAAAATGATCAAGACTATTCTTCAGAAGGATTAATGACTCTCAAAGCACTTAAAATGGATGGAGTGGGAAAGACAGAAGTAGGGAGACCAGTACTGCGGGGTGGGGTGGGGGTTTGCTACCAAATCATCTAAACTTAATGTGACATCCTGACACACTGACTTCCCTAAATAAAATAGCTATGAAAACAAAACTTGGTACTGAAATATGTAACAGTATTATGTAACAGATAAGCTTTCTTATCTATGGAACTCACCCCCCAAGAATGCAGCAACAGTGTGTGGCTCAGCAGCTCCATATCGGCAACTATAAGAAAGAACAGAGATGAACTTAGATTAGCTTTACAAAAGGCAGTTTATCTTTTATATACCCTGAAGAATACTCACAATTCATGGACATAATCATCTTTCACCATTACAGATAATCCATATTCCTGAAGGAAACCAGTGAGACAGGACTTCAATTTTCCTATATCTTCTTCTACTTGATAGTTAGATACCCCTAAAATAAGATATACAAATTAATTTTTTAAAAATAAACGATTCAAAATTAATCCAGTTTCAGATGTTCAAAACAGTAAGATATGAACTGAAGAATAAAAATAACGGAAACCATTATTTGCAAATACTGGAAACTTAATTGATTTAATCTTCACAACATTTCATGAAGTAGATAGTACTATCATCACTTACAAAGCAGAAAACTGAGGCACAGATTTAGTTACCATTATCCCCATTTTACAGACGAAAAAATTGAGGCACAAATATATTACTCAGCTCATAAATAGCAAACCTAGAATATGAGTCCAGGCAGTTAATTTACCAGCCCAATTATTTAAAATACAGATGACCAAAATGCATATTTTTTCACTAATTTTTATAAGATAACAAAATATCAAAAAGACAATTTTATCAAATTTATTCAATACAAAAATAGACTGGTTAAATGACACCTGCCAGAGTGATGCTCTGGATAGTTGGAATGTAAACAAACACACTGCTTGAGTGACTAGGGGTAAAGGGAAAGTGGCTAATGGTAACGTCTGCAAAGGAAAGCTATTATTATTACTGCTAGAGGAGAAATATAATTATGATAATACTTAAGAAATTATTTTAAAAATCAGTATCTTTTAATTTGCTCGTTTAAAAAACTATTATCACTACTCTTCTTCATAATAATACTACCTACACTTCACTGAGTACTTACAAAGGTGCTAGCAGTGTTTGAAGTGACTTTCGTATGTCACATATTTAACCATTACAATACAAAGAGAAGATAATATTATCTGCCATTATATAAATCAGAGAGCTGAGACTTAAGAGAGCAATAGTGGCTTATTCAAGGTCACAAACAGAACTTGGACTGGAACCCACTTAATGGTAAAGCCTGTGATATACATGGTAGCTAATGTCCCATGGTGGCTCCCCTGAAATGCCCTTCAGGCTAACATGCAATTTGTTCTCACTTAACATTAAGCTGACTCTGTAAAACCTATGGAACACAATGTAAGGTCATAAAAAACTTTGTCCCTTCTACTTGAATCTTTTGGAATTTTAATTCTGGAGAAGCCAGCCAAAATG